CGCATCCTCGCCCTCGGCCTCAGCCCCAGGCCGGGCTCCGCAGGCCGTCACAGCCCTCAGGGCACGTGCGAGGCGTCAGCGGCTCCCGCCCAGGTGCTGCCCTCCGCCCCGGCCCAAGTACCTGCGACCCGAGCGCCGGGCGGCGGCGGCTCCTCAGCGACCGCTGGTGGGGAGGACCACTGAGGCAGGCGGGACCTCCGCCGGGCCAGAGCGGCCGAGCCCCGCGGAGTCCGAGCGCCCCCTGCAGATGGGAGGCCCGCTCCGCGGCTTGGCCTGCTCTGAATTCACCCAACGGCCGACCACCCAGACAGACAGGGTTTATCTGATCTGCACTCCCCTCCCCCCACACACACCCCGAGGATTTTACACTTCCACCTCTCTGTCTAAATATCCGGCCCATCCCTTCCGCTAAGTGGAAGCTTCAAAGGACAAGGACCGTTTTATTAGATGCTATTAAGCATCAATTAATAGCTGCAGGTGTTCCTGGAATCCAAACCCACATTCACAAAAGCAAGATTGGCTGACTGCTTTGAAATATGACCCTAGGTTTTTTCTTTTCTTTAAAAAAGTTCACAGCTGGCTTTGTGAGATTCCCAGGCTTACTATCTGTCTATCTGTGTCAGTCTCTGTATCTCTCACATACAGAGCCACAATTAAACATGGAGTCAGAGGTCCATTTACTAAATTATTCTTTCATGCAAAATGTTTTATTTATCTAGTAGGGTCCTAGAGCCAACATGACTCCGCCTCACCACCATGGCATTGGACCCATTTCTCCCTGAGTTTTAGCACCATTCACCCAACCAAGTCACTCTCCAGGATGCCTGGGGCCCACCCTTTCAGGGCCCATCTACCTTCACTAGCTTGCTCTTGACGATGTCCTGTAGGTGTTTAGGATGATGGTCAAGCTTGAGGAAATCTCTTCCATATTTTTTGTTGTTTTGTTTTTCTCTTTGTTATTATAAAGGTGATATATAGGAAGGTTACAGTTGCATTAGGCAGGATAATGTCACCTCTTCCCTTGCTTCTTCCCAGTTTTTCCCTCTGTAGTACCCCGGTTTCCCTACAAGACACCCCAACACTCCGTCAATTAGGCTAGGAGCCTTTATTGTCACACAGTGGCTTCTGCATCTAGCTTGTAGAGCTTAAGAATGCAGCCCCCAATATGCATATCTGCTGGGTACTTAAGGACACAAGCCACACGTAGGTGGTTTTTTTTGCAATAGGCCAGAGCAAGCCAGCTGGGGGTACAGAGCAAGAATTATGCAGTTAGCAGGAATTTGTTGATTATGCTTGGTTTCCCTCTCACCCATTTCTCGGATTCTGCAGAGGTCAGGCTTGATTCTGGTTATTCAGATCACTGTACCTTCTATGTCGCCCCTGGCCTGGGGAGTCCCCATGACTGATACTGATTGTTTTACAACTCCTTCCTGAATTCCACTAACTCACTAATTTACTTCCAGCCTTTATCTTTGGAATTTTTCCTTTTAATGACTAGCCTTGAGTTTTTTGTTTGTTTGTTTTCTACAGGAAGATCCTGTCTTTTAAGTTTGGCCCTATTTTTAATAATCATTTTATTCTGTTTCTAATTTCATATTTTATATTCTTTTGGGGGAATCATTATACCCTCCTGTCCCCACACAAGTTGTATAGTTCATTTTCAAGAAAGTGTCTAGAGAATACCACTGCTGCATTTTTTTCTCTCTGTTTGTCCCTCCATTTTTGTGTACCATATTTCTTTTATCCTTTTTTTTTTCTCTGTTGGTTGTGGGGCTTGAACTCGGCCTGGGCACTGTCCCTGAGCTCCTGGGCACTGTCCCTGAGCTCTACAGCTCAAGGCTAGTGCTCTACCACTTTGAGCCACAGCACTACCTCCAGTTTTCTGGTGCTTAATTAGAGATAAAAGTCTTAACAGATTTTCCTGCCAGGGCTGGCTCTGAACCTCGATCCTCAGATCTCAGGCCCCTGAGTAGCTAAGATTATAGGCCTGAGCCACTGGTGCCCAGTCTGTGTGTACCATATTTCTTTCTCAGAAGAATCCTAACCACTCAGGGCAAGCTGGGGACTTGGCTAAGTATGGTAGATCACTTATCTGAAATGCAAAAGAACCAGGTTTGATCACAGCACTAAATACATAAATAAATAGATATCTTTGAGCATTGCACATTTTCATGGTTGGTGATTTATCATAAATATCATTCTGAAGCCATGGCACACTTTCAGTTTGTCATTAATGCCTTCCTGGAGGTGGGTACTGAGTTTAGATGATCTTCTCTGGTACCAGTAAACTGCTGCAACTTTACGCCAGTGTGTGCATATAATATGTTCATTCTTTCTTAGTGGGCTTATCAAATAACCGGAGAGTCTATTCATTGTTATATTTAAATTTATCTCTACTTCATGAATGACTGCTTTTGTCCAATCTGAAAACATTATGAACTGTGAGGACACTTTTTTCTTCTCTGATGAGATGAAGGGGGGTGACTGCATAATACCCAGTCTGTGACTGCTGTCCCTATCCTGGGGACTTGGACCCAGTGGACCCTAGGAGTCTTCAAGGAAATGATATTTTACACTCCAGCAACATCGTGCAGCTGCCTGGAAGTGACACTGAACCACAAGAATATAAACCAAAGGATCTCCAACTACTTTTCTGCCTGTAGCCACCCAATGCTGCTCATACAAAGTGAGTTTCACTTAGTGCTAATTGAAGTATTTAATTGTGCAAAGTTTACAAAAATTATGGTTCTGTGAACACATTTCTGGAGTCCCATTGAGAATCTTGAAAGGGATGTGTTCAGAGAAGACTGTACATTAGTTTCTGCCACAATTCTAATGACTTAAAACATATTTGTGTTACTGGTTAGATCAGAAGCCCACAATCTTTCCACTGGGCTACAATCCAAGTGGACAAAGTGCTGTGTTCTGTCTAGAGGCTCTCAGGAGAATCCAGCTTCTGAAGGTCATCTGTGTCACCTGGCTGATAGCTTTCCTCCATCTCCCAGTGTTGCTGCAGGACCCATTTCTCTTCTCTGGATCTACCTTCCATCTGTGCATCTTCTCTAACTTTGACTCTTCTCCCTGTAAGGCCTCACAGGAGGCCTACGTGGGTAATTCAGAGTACTCTCCCATCTCAACACCTTTACTTAATCATATTTGCAAAGCCCCTTTGCCATGCTGACTAACAAATCCAGTGGTTCTGGGATTTTATGGACTTTTTTGGGGGGAGATGATACTAGAGTCTGAATTTGAGGCCTCATTCTTGCTATGTAGAAACTTGACCACTTGGGCCATACCCTCAGATCCTTTTGGTCTAGTTATTTTCTGAATAGAATTTCATGTTTTATTCTGATGCTGATCTCAGACAGTCATCCTTCTATCTATGCCTCCTGTGTGGCTGGAAGGACAGATGACCACCACCATGTCTAGCTTACTGATTGAGATGGGATCTTGCTAACTTTTTTGCCCTGTTGGCCTCAAACTACCATCCTCCCAATTTCAGCCTCCAGCATAGCTAAGGTTATAGACATGCATGCCCCTGCCTGGTCCTAGGGCATGGACATCTTTAAGGGACTATTATCCAGCCTTTTGCAGGGGCCTTGAAGCTTATGCTTTCTTCCCTTCAGGTAAATCTGCTGTTTTTGTCTTCATCAAAAATCTATTTGGTCTCCAGTTCTACTCATGAGATTTCCAGTAGAGAGGGTTACTGGATTACAACCAGAAGAGTTTTAAAGAGAAAGAATGCCACAAGGACAGACAATTTGGTTGTCACTTTAAATATGTGTGTATATAATCAGAGAAGTCAATTGTTCAGGGAACAAGGGAAGTATTCTAGATAGAGGAGACAATATGAAGTCATGTGAACAGTGATGTCAGAGGGTTGATGTACATTACTGAATCCCCTGCGTTTCCACAGTGGCTGCATATAGCATGTGCTCAGAAATACTAGCTCTGAGGTTTTCTGCCCTGGAAGCACTTGATGACCTTACAAATTGCTTAAAATGCCAGTGCTCAAGAGACAAATGGCACACGGTCTCCCTGATATGTGGATGCTAAAGCCAAAATGCAAGACGATATGACAAAGTAAACAGGACTCAAGAAACAAAGGACTTCCACTCACTTTGTCGCATCATTGCTAAATGAGTCCATGTTCTTGACCACTTATATGGTATATTTAGACACAGATCTGAGGGAAGCTAAGAGGAGGACGCAGAATCAGAGGGAATGGGAAAACATAAAATAGAGGAGCTCATCAGCTTCACTGGACAGAAAATGAACTAAGCAACTTAAAGGCAGAGATGGGAGGGAGGGAATGAGAGGGAAAGAGGGAACAGCTGACACTAAGCAAAAGGAAAAAGATGTAAATATCACCTGATGTGGAAGAAATAATTGTATTGTCAAAGCTCATAGAATTCACAAACTTTATAGACCATGATCATGACAACTTGCCTTGTGAAGGTTAAAATGTGTTTGTGAAACCTAGGACGGTTTCTTATTAGGTAAAAGAAGGTTCTGGGCTAAAAGGATTTTATGTTCCTGTTATAGTCATGGAAAATACAGAAGACTCTCAGAAATAATAGTTAAGCACTTATCAGAAGAAGCTGAAAGTGACCCAGCAATTATCCAGATATAATTGTTAGGAAGAGACGTGGTCAGAACACGAAGAGGTTTTTGAAAGGACACATTGTACCTGCAAAGTAAGAGGCTTTTCTTCCTGACTTTGGGCTTTGCTCCCATGTTCCAAAAGTACATGTTGTTTTTTTTATAGGTAGAAAGGAATGGCCACCAGAGGGAGACGTACTCCAGAAAAGCATGGCTTCCCCAGTGCTTCCTCTGACACAAGGTAAGCATGAATCAGGCATCTCCTGAAACACCTGGAGTCCTCAGACCTAACCAGGAAATAACTGAGTCAATGCTAGAGATGAGTAGCGCCTATTTGTCTACAGCAGAGTCACATTCATTTCGGTTCCCCAACAATTTAAAGCATTTAAACCACAAGAAAATGTCACTTGTTTGTATGTTTGTATATGCATGTGCCATCCTATCCTCTCAAGCAAATTTGCTTGTGAGGAAAAATTTGAAGCCAAGGAGACCAATGCTTTCCTCTAGCAACCAACACAACAATAAAATGTTATAGCCAAGCATTCAGACCAACAGTTTGTCTCT